TAAGCAATAACAATAAAAAAATAATAATGTATTTTTAAGTTGTACCGTTGAATGATTTCATTATTTTCTTTGCTTTTAAGGTAATATTTGTATTATAGAAATACCTTAATAAAAGTAATGTATTATCCAATAGGCACACACTTGACTAAAAAACAAATTCCTAAAGAAATTATTAATGAGATACGTATCGATATTATCTTTTTTTTTTTTTTTTTTTTGGTTATGGGTAATTCAAACACTCAATAACTTTATCTTATTGGTCCTTTCCGTAGATTAGTTCAAACATCCATATTAGAGATTATTATCTTTAGTTAACAGTTAAAAAGTATTACTGGTGTTAGTCATACTTGTAACTTAAAATATATATCATTAAAATATTTAAAATAGTCTGAATTGTTGTACTAAAAATAAATGTCGACAAAATCCTTTAATTATGCATTCGGGGCGAAATTACTTTTAGTGAGTTAATTTCATTTTAGTGGAACCTGAGATAATTAAATTGAAAAAATAAGTAATTCTACTGATGTTCTTTACGGTTAGAACTACGATGTGACGAAAATGGCCGCGCTTGTATCTTTAAACTTTATTTTGAATTATAAAGTTTTCTTTTTTAAATCTATTTTAGATTGCAGGATATTTTTTCAATAGTAATTAATTTTTGATGGCGCGCAATAGTGAAGCGTTGAAATAAACATGTAATGCAAGAGGGGCGTCGGTGAAGGACGACGCTAGTAAAATGACTTATCAAGGCCATTATTACACTGCTCTGGGAACTCTGACCATAGTGATATTGCGTATATCTTGGTCACTGTTTGAAGGTTATAAGAGAACAGCCACCGTACATAGATGTTATCGTTTAAGAAACGATGCTTGTGCTGAACTGACTTGTACGCGTTAAAAAATTAAGAGGGAAAAACTATTTTTAAAATAGTATAATTTGTCTTTCTGAATCCTACCTATAGTCATTCTCGCATTACCATATTATTTTTTATGAGCGTCGACAACTTTGATTGAGAAAGTCTAAAAATTGATATTTTAGAATTTAAAAATTTATAGTCATCTATTCTCTTCTGGATAACATAATATTTTTAAATTGTTTGTAAATTTCTAGTCGAAATTTTATCGTAGATGTAAATAACATACTCTTCTTAGACTAACTAAGACAATAATGTGGCTTTTAATTAAGATTTTACCATTTATGTATGATTTTTTTAATAATAAAATATGTATATACTTTTTCAATTAAAGAAAAGAGACTGATTACACGTATATAACTTATACGGGTAAACCGATGTAACGACAACTTAGATTTACTTTTTTACGATGTTGTAAATTATCGACTCTTATTTTTCACATTGAACGTGTTCGTTAATAGTCGTGTTCGAACAATACAGAATAAACATTTCTTAGTCACAAAAGGCACACTGTTATACATAAGTATATATCAAAGTAATAATGTCAAGTGCGCGCGACCTTGTGTCTGTGGAATTTGCACCTCTATCGTCCCTAAGCTCCAAGCGGGTGATCGTTTACAAAAGGTTTCATTTTCGCAACGGTTTAATGTCACGCGATATCCAAAAATAGATGCAACTACACGTGAATTGCGAAACGGCGGTATTCATCCGTGACGGCAGTATTGTTTAAATTGTTGGCTTTAATGTTAAATAGTATAGGTGCTCTTGGTGTGTGTGTATTGGGTCGTCAACGTCGACCATAACCTTAGTCAATGACAGTTACTGCCAGACATTGAGGACCGTTTTTCACGATCTCCATCTAAATTATTATCGCGCGCTGTATTGATTTAAATAGGCCATCCTTTGAACAATTCAGAATTTGCTCTTTATCAGCTAGCAAACTGTTCCCGAAAATGTAACAAGGTCATATAGTAAAATTCGCCGGGCACAAATGTTGTGTATTTAAAGGTGTAATAATAACATCCAATTTGTTTTCCTGCGATATAAAATGATAGCGCGTTATTTAAATGTAATGTTTAAACCTTCCGAAAGTGGTATAATATACTTAGCGCTGCCATAGTAATGGAACGTGGCAACTGAATCAATATTTAACCATGTGGTAGGCTCGTAAAAATGAAAATAATACTCAAGTACACGTTACATTTCAGTTATGTTGGCAAACACTTTTTCATAAAGAAGTATCAAAAATGATTTTTTTTTGTGAATGTTTGAGAATAATTTATTTTCATTGAAGAACGACGAGGACATTTGCTCAAAAGATTTAACTATTCAATGTTATGTCAACTCGACATTTTTTACCGAGTTCCGGGATCATAATAATACATCTAACAAATATTACGTGCAAGTTTTAATATTGTGTACTGCCCTTTCAGTTTCAGCTCAACAGCCCCTCCCCACTGCTCTTAGTACACATAATCATAGGTTTAACTATTGCTGCTTTTCTATAAAACTCAGTGTCGCGTTTGCCAAGTAATAAATAATATTAGACCTTCATTGTATTCTCTGAAATTAGCAACTAATATTAATTGTCACGAGAGTTCTTGTAAGGCGTTTTAAAAATGTCCAAAATTACTTTAGTACTTTGCTCGTGGTATTAGTAGTTCGCGATAGCCAGCTGAGTTGATGTTTATAATCAGAATAAAAAATTTTCCTGGAAAAATATTCATGTATTATGGATTTAAAATAAAATTTTTTTGTGACGGAATAAAAATTTCAACAAATGGACAATGTTGTTTTAATTAAAGTAACCGCTTATTAATTTATAATTTATTAATTTACAAATAATATATCTTGGTCGTAAATAAAAAAAATGCATTCTTATTATTTTTAAATTGTTTAATTGTTAAATTAATTAAAATTAAAACATAAAGTTTAATTGCTGTGCAATTAATTTATAAAAATCGCGTTGTTAGTAACTCACATGAGTTTTTTCTTCTGTAAAGATCGTAGTACATATTTTTAACGATGTAATATTCACTTCCATTGTTTTATTTGTTTTTATTTCCTAAAATGATTTTGTACCTTTTTTTACACTTCTTAAAATGTATATTGTAGTAATGGTTGAAAATTGTTAAATAAAAATTTTAAATGGTCAGCCTTATATTTATAACTTGGTGCGAGTTTTCCGTTATAAATAATACACCGCACATATTTTCAATTGTTCAAAAACAAGAACATTAATAGTTTACATTGTTATAATGGCAATAACAAAAATAATTGTTTTATTTTTATTTTTAAAACGTTCTTACTGGAGAGTGCATTGGACTTTTTAATTGAAATCTTTATTATTGACATGAATACGATGGTGTAGTACTGTATGCTACCCAATTAATATTATTCTTAGTGGTAGAAGTCAGAGCTTTGATCAACAATCGTTATACTATTTTATGTTGTGTAGTGGGTGAGGTTATTGCGGTAAATGAGAAATACTTGAAAAGCGGTCGTAAAGCGCAAGCGTTTCAAATTCACCTCTCCGTCCAATACGAGACGAATTTATATTTGCCTTTTGAGTGCACGCGCATTTGATGCAACAGGAGAAACTGCAAATAGCTTAACCTAGGTCAGTCCCAAGTACTAATTTAAAGTTTCCTTGACAATTTTTTTTCACACGTATGTATCAATTGCGACCACTTATAGTAATACATTCACATAAATTAACTTCCACGATAGTGTTGTCGTCCAATATGTGCGAATAAATAATATTCATACTTACTTGATGAATTGCTTTTTTTCTACAGTGTTTTTTTTTTATTACTGAATATTTTGTGATGTTCATTAATTGACTAGGGGTACACTCATACTTTTGTATGTAAACAATTTAGTCTTTCGATGTCACTAAGAATTTAAATATACATAGTGCCACGTATCTAACTAAACAATTATAACCTTTGATGCTACTATCGTTTTGATGAAATTTTCAATTAATATTTGCATTCAGAGCATTTTTTTTTAATTAGAATTTTTAGCGCATTTCTATCGAAACATTTTTTTGAGTCCATGATTACTTTAGGACGATTACTTATCAGGTTATTAGCATTTTACTTTATTAAGTGGGTGTATGGAAAAATCAGTACGGGCTGTATTCAACCGCATTATATATATCCATCCCATATATTTAAGTACTTGTAACTCAACGAGAACTTATTTTTAAATTGTTACGAACCAAACAAAATTTTTTGTAAAGAAATTGCTAAATAGTTGTTTCAGAATTTTGAAAAAATTATTTTTTTTTATGAGTTATTAATAATAAAAACTATAATTTAAACGTATTTTCCATAAAGGCATTAATTATTTAAAAATAAATTTACTAAATTAAAATAAGATTAATAATTATGAACATTGTCAGTTAAATCTATTTGAGCCGCTCTGTATATTTACGGTGCATCAATGTAAAAGATATTGAATTGGTAGACGTGCGGCGATGTGAGATTACTGATCCTTTTTAAAAATTTACGTTAATAGCTATTTGTTAGAATTCATTTTTTTCTAAGGATATATAAAAATAATCCCTATTCTCTTAAATGGGAGGTTTAATTGGTTTAACAATAAGTCATGAGTAACTGATATTATGAAAACATTTATTTTTATATCTTAGTGACGTCAATATTATACAAGTGTAGGATGTTAAAATGTATTTTTAGATTTTGTTTTGATTGCATATCATACATCTTGATGTTTGAAAAGTATTGATTAAATGTCTTGTGGTACAACAAAAATTACACAAGTGTTAGTAGTTTCAGCTCAGGTTTCAGTTGTATTTATGAAGCCGCGAATTGAGAATTGCTTCATTCATAAATGATATTTATAGTCTGTATTTATAGTTGACGTTGATAACAGATATTTCATTGATGTGTGTGATTACAAATCGCTTTGTCATCCGGTTTAATAACAATTTTACAATTTATTAATCGGCTATGTCACATTGCAATGTCTTTAAATTTTATGTTTCCTCTATGATCATTTATCATTAGATTTATCTTGTATGAAACAGTAAGTGGCACTAATAATGTTTTTTTTTTGTTTCAGGTATGTTAAATTTTACTTGACGTATAGAGAATATGAAACGATACTATGATTATTAAACATCAGTATAATAAATACTAGTCTGTAGCTAATGGTGAGTAAAAGTGAACACGACGACGTTTGGTCACTGAGATGGCCGCTTTAAAAAATTATTTACTTATTCATTTTTCGTGTAGAAAAAAAATTGTAATATGACAGACGTGACGTGCGTTGCATTATTTTGTTAGGCAATCTTAGGTAGAGGTATTATAATTTATTATACATTATGTGGTCTTCTCATAACCCGTAGACCGTTTCCCGTTTTTATTTAAATTTTAAGAAAACCGGTAAACAAATTTCAACCGATATATGTGGACGTATAATGTAAAAAACTGTATTGTACATTGTGTGCGCGTACGTGTACAAGATTTCAATCGGCCCGTTGGTTCGTTTTCCAAATCTTATGCTAACGAAAATTTTTACATTAAGTGTATGACGAATAACCTCGTGAAATATATTCAGACACTAAAGACAGTACTTTTTTTTATTATTGAACTCGGACAGTTGAAACGTTAGCTAGCCTAACGAACAAGTTGTTAAGTTATTAAAAATTTACCTCATAATGTACCCTGGAAATCATCGTTTAAAATTATCTTATCTTATCACAAGTAATTCACCGTTAAATATCGTGTCGAACAAGTTTTTAATGAGTGATGATTGAATTGCGCCAAAAGTTGTTTCTGTTTTAAAGCACTAGTGTGAGGTCAATGTGTGAGAACTTGTTTATGACCAATTGTAGCATTACAGTACTAAAATAAATGATTATTAATTAAACTGAAACTGGTTTTAAAAAATTTGGAAGAATATTCAAATATGACATATAAACTGTGTTGAAATTTAGTATTTATTTTAAAATATAAAATTCAATGTAATTTGGTGGATAATATTTATGTCCAGTAGGTAATATACAATTGTAAATTCGTTGTACAAATAGTATCACGTACAAAGTAGTACTCTATGAAAATTAAATGATTAATGTCTAGTGACACATGTAGTAGTAGTATACTTCTTCATGACCATGACGATTTAGGAATATTAAATCGGTTCAGAAAAATAATTATCCGCACGACTACCGCCCGACTTTATGTACTCCTTTATAATGCATATGAAATTTGCTGCACGCATAAACCAAGGTCACTAACTAATTTTCAATTATTAGAAAATAATTGTTTTAATTGTGAACAAAAGCTATTTAATGTTAACAAAGGATAATAGTTGTCATCAGTTGCTGTCTTNTATGAAATTTGCTGCACGCATAAACCAAGGTCACTAACTAATTTTCAATTCTTATTAGAAAATAATTGTTTTAATTGTGAACAAAAGCTATTTAATGTTAACAAAGGATAATAGTTGTCATCAGTTGCTGTCTTTGTACTAATTGTCACTTCTTAAGTACGATCTATTTCAATGATTTTTAGACAAATTATTAAATGTTCCGGTTTAAATTAATTCGTTAAGTTAACCGATGTATTTTATCGAAATAGTCTAAAGAGGAAATTTCTTTTTAGCTATTTGGAATTAATTAATTTTCATAATGATAGTACATAATATAAAAATTCTCAACACGTAAATTTCAGAAAAAAAATCACGAATCGGTAATCAAAAAATAATTATATATTCTGTGCTTACTTCCATGTACAGTTTTTATGGTCTGTGTCTTAAGTTTTCCTGATAGCTTCAATCGAAACATTAATTTTCTATTAGCGGTAAATTTTCTACTTGTTCATTTTTTTAGCGTATTACAATTTTTCTGTCCATTAATGATTTATTGTTAATATAATATGTATCTTTTTTAAAAAATAATATCACTGTGTAATATCCAAACTTTGTCCTATTCAACAGGTAATATATTACTAAAAGAGTTTTACAATTAATTTATAAGATAAATTGAAATCCTATTCTGTAATTGTACTTATTTATTAAACACTTATGAATACTACGACGATTAAGATGGAAAAATACCAATGGATAAATCCCGACCATCATAGTATAGCGGTCGATGATCAAAAACAACCAGTTCTTAATGAGAACGGCGATCTAATAGTTTTGGATAACGAGAGTGAGTATAATTATTACCTCATAAAAATGACCCTTAAAAAAAACGTATTATCAAGTTGGAAAGAGTGTTATGTATGACGACAAAACCAAAATTTTTAGGCGGAAAATGTATTGCTGTGCCAAATTCCGACGAAGTTTTGGAAATATTCGGTTTTGGATACTCATCGGGCTATGGTTCCCCGACAGGTTCTCCCAAAGATTCACCCGAACGAGATATGAAACCTATTGTACAAGTAGTAACAGGTAAATCATAAAAAACGGAAAAATTGAGTAGTAGCCATTGAAGTTATCGATGCTCTGTTTGTTTCATATTAGTACTATAAAAATAAATTTGAAAACAAACAATAATGTTAGAGAGATAATCTGCGTTTTTATTTTTACTTTTACAGTAGTAGGCAAAAATAATTTTGAAAGGCCCCTCTGTGTAACTTTGTAGTGTACTATGTGTGCACGATAATTTGGCCGTTGATTTCTTAAATTTTCAATACTAATACTAATGTATCGAAAATTTATCGTTATAATTAATGTTATCAACACATTCTTAGAAAAATAAAACTCAGATTACTACGGTTTTTAGACTGTTGTCGGCCTAAGGAAATTGTTCTATATATATTTGAGGAGTTCAAAACAAAGTATTAGTAACTTTCTATCAAATCAATGACATAGCTAAGCTTCAGTGCTTTCTCGTGGGTTAATTGTTACTAATAACATAATACTTAGGCGCTAGTAAGACCATATGATAAAACAAGAAAAAAAATCCTCTTAGTCCTTCTTAGTAAATATCGTGACAATGCCCCTGAATCAAATATCTCAATATTTAATGTGCTATAATTTTTGGTAAATTATTTTTCCATTTTTTTAATACTGCAATTTTTTATTAATAATGGATCACTATAATAGTGTAAACAATTAAATTTTATATTCAAGTTGTAGTGATATTAAATTGTTATCTAATAAAATAAAAATAAATTAATGACCTCGAACCATCGTAATATTCTGAGTTTGCATTGATATCATTCAACGTGGTTCGTTGTTTGTCTACATTATTATGTGCTCTCTCTCTGCCATTGCACTGGCTATTCTAAAATATTTATAATAATTCAACTAAAACTTCGTTTATAGATGTTAGTTCGTTGAGTTTTCAATTTAAGGTCACGCTATGTTGATTGCACGGCTATGTTAATTTTTTTTATAAGTTGTGGTTTATTCAATATAAGCAATAATTTCAATATATAATGTGTACTAACCTAACTTAATAGAGTTTATGTTGCAATCAATTCTGTTGCAATTATATCCTGCAGATAATAATTGATACGTTGCGTTAATTTTTTTCACTGTGTAAGTTTGAGATTGTTAAACGCAATAATTTGCAATATTTTTTATGTATTTAGCGATACTGTCAGTATTTCCTAAATTTTTATAGCACCACACTAGTATTTAATTTTAATCATTGCCCGAAACTTGACAGTAATTTTTTAAAGTTAATTTTACTAATAGTCAATCATTTATATCAATGACATAAAGCGTTTAAATTAAAAATGTTTATATCTATTTCTTAAAAAATGTATTGCATAATCGACGCACTTAATTATTTACAGTTTGATTGCTACTCGCACATTTTCTTTTTTTTTTATCAATTAAGGTACTACAAGATCGCTTACAAAAATTTACTTTCCTTGTATGTCTGGTTCAATTTTGATTTTCTTGTCGTCTGTTATTCATAACTTAAGATTATTTATTACCTATCTACTGTGTCGTAATAATTTACAGATTTTGTGCATTTGTAATAATATTATTGCTTTATTAGTGCGCTATAAACAAGATTACCTCTATGTGTCTTGTTAATTAGTTTTCTCGTTTAATGAATAAAACTTGTATTTCTAAGTAAACAAAAACTTAAGCGATAAATAAATATTCTTGTGCAATGGCTAAAGAGGAGTACAGAAATAATGAATTAATTTCACTTTGTTTATGACATGATTGAAATCCCATTAAATTTCAAGCAACTATAAATCATTTGAAACTGTTATTAAGGTTGGACTTGGATGTGTTTAAGTAATTATTTTAAAATAATAATTAATTGATCTATGAGTACTAGTGTTTTATTTTTTTACAGTATTTTTATAGATTAATATTGAAACGAAGTAGAGATTCTTTGGTATTTTTTTTTTTTATGATATTTGTAGCCTGTAGGTTATCTCGACTATCATGAAAAGTTTTTAATGTTTGATATGAGATGATGTTTGCATCTATGAACGCATTAAAAAATGAAGTCATACCACTAAGCATTGAAAAACAGGCATAATGATTATTAAAAAAAAAAATACATATATGTATATAAATTTTATGGCATATAATAATTAAAAAAAAAAACGATTTTTAAAAAATAATATATTGAATAAAGTAAACAATTTTACAAGAATAAAATCAAATGACTTCCAAAACGTATTTTGTTTTTAAACGAATGTTGGACATTTTTCATGTTACTGGATCGAGATAACCCAACTTGCTACGAATTTATTTATTTGTGTACTGTTTTAATGTAATCATATAAAAATATCAGATGCCGATCAACTGCTTTGGAGTATGCGGACACCTTGTCAGAAGGATATCGAAGCCACTAGAGAAATGTTGGCTTTGGTCGCATCGAAAAAGTATCAAGACATGTTCAATGATCAGTGCACTGTAAAAATACGCGTCTGGAAACGCATCTGCGAAGAATTAATGAACAAAGGTTATCGTATAGCCGATTCCGTCAACGAGGGTGGTATCAAATGCCATCAGAAATGGCGCAATTTAGAAAAATCGTACCGGAATTATCTGATCAGTTCTACGGACCCGAATAGTTCTGCCCCGAAAAAACCACCGCCGTATTTCGAAGCTCTACACGAAATACTTAAGAAGAAGAAAAAGTACGCTAACGCAGCCACCTACACTCAGACCGTTGTCGTGGGCGAAGACATGATGACCGACGGCGACGGAAGCGGTGGTCATCTAAACGATACGGACGTACTAGACGACATGGAAGACGGCGACGGCCAGAACGATGACCATTGTTATGTCGTCAACAGCTCGGGACACGTTTCCAAGAGATTCAGAGTTGATCCTCTGACCGTGTGCACTACGTCCGGTGGCTCCGGTTCGGGCGGCGGCAACGCCGGTGGGACTCGAGGCAGGCAACCGCAGCAACAGCCCGACGTACTCGAGCAGATCCTAGAGCAGATGGTTCGGGTTCATAGAGACACTATGGCTATGCACGAACGACACTATAACAGAATAGAAAAGCTAATGAAAGAGAACTCGACTCAGACCAAACGGTTGGCCGACGTGCTAGGGCAACTATTGGTCAACAGAGAGGACAAAAACGACAAGTCCATCAACATGGGATCGGACGTGGAATGACGATGTTCACGAACTAATATTAGCGAATAACTAATTATATCAGTTATTATATAAATAATAATTAATTATTTAAGTTTTAAATACCTCATGTAGTGACCGCGTTTTTTTCTAATGAAAATTCTCAATTTTAATTGGTTTTCTGATCATTTAATGAATTTAACTTAAGTTTTTTTTTTTAATGTACATTTTATTTTGACAGCCACATTTTATACATAATGAAAAGCTTGTATTTTATACATTTTATTTTATAAACAAAACTATGCATGTTAGTATTTGATTACATCGGTGGCTGACATTGGTGCACAACATAGCTAACATTACGCTGTTAAATAAAAAAAAAAAAAAAATGTATAAAATAAACACGTTCATCCAATTTATTACTTAAGCAATTGATAACATTATACCAAATCTTGGATTATTTTTTTATTATTTAATTATCGATTTCTGTTTGCCGTCTTTCGTCCTCTCAATTAAAACAGCGTTGTAATAATTAATTCTAATGCAATTTTTTTTATGCACATGGTTTAAGTGTTCTATAAGAGTTGTTTACCGTGTCATTTGAACATATTTGAAAAACTGCAAGCATACAGAGTGTGGTGGGTGGGTAACGTTTACGTTTGACCGTAGCCGTTGCGAAACACTCTACTCGACGCGTTTTCGCCGTACTGGTATTTTTTAATGCGCTCGGTACACGCGTAATATTGTTTTTCGTTTGTAGTTCTCTCTCTATCCGTCTTTGCATGTGCCATAATATTTGTAGGCAAAGGGGAATCAAAACGCACACACACACGTGACACAATGAGGTCTGGTCGACCATAACCTGGGACAAGGTTAATTCGCTTGTCCCTGTACCACACACAATGTTATAAATATATATGTATTAGAGGTTCATGACCTGCAGGCGTTGTAAAAACTCTCGAAACCATTCAAGTGCATAAAATAGCCGTCTTATTTGTGCACATGCGTAAATGTGCATTACACATGCACGTGATGCATTTCCATGTGCGTAACCGGTAAAAATATTTGAGCTGCCCGAGAGAGGGGCGCAACATGTGCCGACGACTCGGTTGGTTACTACTCGTTCAAATTATTAACTTAATCATTTGCATCGCCGTTTGTTGTGTACAAACATTTTAATTGCGACCACTTCAAAATAAAGCGAGTCTGCTTTTTTACGGTTGCATTTTATTGTAATAAATTGCTTGTCACTAAACTTTTATGGTTTGATTACCAATAGAAATTCATTGTATTATTACTGAAACTTCTTGTTATTAGTACTAGCGTTGTTAGCAAGTTCACATAGCCGCATTAGAAAAATAAAAAAGCTTTGTCGGGCGGTATACGATGTATGGGCGTTAAGCCATTACAAACTTTGTACCCGGAAACATTCAAGGTCGATATTAAGACGTGTGTTAATTGTTATACGCGTTAACACTATGCCTGGTAATTGTATTACTTGGTAAATCGGCGTGTTTTTCGATCGTTATTTTTTTGCGAATCGCCTTATTATACTCGTTTTGTGCATTTCGTGTAAGTTCCCTGCTTACGTTTGTCGCTGCTGTTTTCACTGTGAATTTTTATTGTTAAAAGCAAAAGAGTTGCATCATTTCTCGCCGCATATTTAGCTTATCCGTAATATTTCCGGGAAATTGATATTGGGCGACTAATTCTATTCGTTGTATATGAGCAATTGTTCTGTAATTTTCATTTGCTTACAAATCTACGAGGAATGTATTTGAATAATATTATTTTTGTAGCAGTTAATTAGTATCATTAAATTATTCTCCGTTGGCCTCCGACAATACTTATTGTAGTTAAAGAAACTCACAGCAACACTGAAGACGCGAATAGTTCAAGTCATTTCAATTAATATTCCGTATTTATAGTACTATAGTTATTATGATAAAGTTTTTTTCGTATACATTCGGAGAAAGATAAAATGTTTATTCAAGGACGTGTTTTATTTGTATTAAGCTCGATAGATTACACGTTTCGTTATCCAGAAATTCCCTTTACGCCAAATTACAATGGTCTAATATTTTTAATGGATAAAAAGTAATCTTCTTGACAAATGGTTCGTGGATCTTTCGATTTATTTAAAAGGTTATACAAGTAGGAACTTCAGAAGAATGCGAAAAATCTAGTTAAATAATTTCGGAGTACATTTGATTTGTACGTTCTCAAAATTTATTTTGTTTAGTGCGACTTATAATTCAGTGATCATGTTATCATTGAGCATTTCATTGTATGAACTATGTAATGAAAACAGCTATCAAAGTTATTGATTTTGACGTTGTTTATTTTACGTCAAACGAGCGTTGACATGCACAAAGGTTAACGGTTTTAAGTCGCAGTATCAGTTATCATTGAAGAATTTCGAATACTCTCGGAGATTTTAATATATAAAATAATAACATTGTAACAAAGTTATAAAAAAAACTGTTTTTCCCTGGCTTGATGTCTTTTCACGCGCCGCGACGACCTTCACATTTTGTGTTCACTTCATAGTTGACTACTCTCTCTTGACTTATCGTTTTATCACGCGATAATATATAGGAGGGCTGTCTTAAAAGGATTTACGTGAAATTTGTTCATGCAACATGAGTCACTCGACGACATTGGTCCAGTTTCATGTTGAGATAAATCGTGATACGCATTTTGATTATCGTTACAAACTTTGTTTTAGTCAAGTTTTTCTAATCACAGTTGGCTTAGAATTGTTCGATGACAGATAATTTCATCGAAAGGCTTTCGAATCTTTGACCTTGTTATTTATAGTTTTTCTTTAAAAATAAGTTATAAATTAAAGTGCAAAACGTTGACGCCAAATTTACCGTTGTAATGAAATAACATACAAATTTGACACGAGACGTTGACGCAACCTTTGCATTGTTTTCGAAGAGTACCTAGGAATGTAAATTGATGGGCGATTTCGTATCTTGAGGTGTGTGTCTTGCCTTCCCTCAATGGTGCTCACTTATATGATTCACTGAAAGACTTAAATAATTAATAGGTTTAACAATGTCACTAATATACAAACCTCGAAGCTGTACATTTTTAATAGGTATGTAGAAATCTTATAAGATGCTCGAATACCTATTTAAGTGTTTTTCTATATATTAATATATATATATATATATATATCTTCATTGTTCGTGCCTAAAAATAACTTGTATAATAAGTAAAATAAACTTAATATTAATATGAAACTTGTCTTTTATTTTTTGAAGGTTTAGAGATCAGTTAAAAAATCAATGAAATAATAAAAAAACTTATTGTTATTAAAAGAATATTGTATTTCGGTAATGAAAATAACTATATTATAAATACGATTCTCAAACAAAGTTAATAATGGCAAACTACCATAAAACACTGATAACATAGAAACGATTGATGATGAAAGTAACAACATAAGTGTATAAACAACATACAATGTATACGGTAAAAAATAATTATTAGACGTTTGGAAAGTCTCAACTCTGAATTGCATGAAACTTGCGATTGATCTTCCGTCGTAAAAGTGGAATATCAATTAATTCTTATTAGTTCATCATTTGTTGTAATTTACATGTATTTCTATTTGATCAGTGGCGCAGCAACCAGGGGAGTGTCCAGTTCTAGACTCCCCATCGACATTAAATCATAATAAAGGGGTGGAAAAGTGACTCTCCCTAATACTCTACGTTTTAAAGCTATCTAGACCGCCATATAAAATTTCTAATTACGCTACTGCATCCCAGTGGCTATATAATTAAATTTTTGAATACAGAACTACTGTATCCTTCCAAAGGAATCGACTTGAATGAGGAAGGAACATGGTGCTGTGCAAATAATTGATTCAAACCAAGTAAAAATGTCCCCACCGATTTGATCAAATGCATTTTACTTGCATCTTTGGAGGTATAAATAACAGTTAAAATATGCAACGCCAATGATATTGAGCCGATCAAACATTGATAGAATGTTTTAGTGTCATAAAGTTTTGTTTTTTGCACTTTAACGATAAGCTTGAATCAGTAACTTGATTTTTGTAAAACATAATTGAAATCGTAATTAATGAGAAATAAAAACAGTGACAAATTTTGTTTGCCATATATATATATTAGTATGTTGAAATAATTTCTTAATTACCTAGCAACTATCTTGTTTAAACTTATTCTCAATTATAGTTGATGAATTATTATTGATAAATTGTTATTTGTTACTTAGAAACAATTACAAATACAATATTACTGATTCATTTAATGTAATTATGTACCAATTTACATTATTATAATTTTTGAAAATTTTCAAATGAGAAAATATTATATACGAGTAAAAAATTTTATTGTGTTAATGTTGCGAATGTTATGTTATTAGATTTGAATTTTTTATTTAAATTAAATATTTATTTATTGATATACAACGAATAATTCGCCAAAACAGGCCAATTATTGGCCTGTTTGCTGGGTAGGCACAGTTTTCTTCGGGTGTTGAGTTCAAAAGTATCGGTAACAGTGTAACTCGAGTATAAATATTAGGCCAAGGGAATGTATAAATAACGTAAGCCAACGGTGAAATTAGAATATTAGTTAGATCTCCAACGGCAATTGCATTAATGGATTAATATTCCGGCCTTCATAGTGGATTTAAAAGCTAATAAGGTCGGCCGATTTTGCATGAGTCGAGTGTAACGTTTAAGGTCAATGTGACATTTTATAGTCGGAATTTACTTGTTTTCAGTATAATTTAATGATGTTTTGTTACACGAATCGAATCGATTTGATTGCGCGACTACAACGAGTACCACAACGTTGTTACTTTTAAATAAATATATTGTAACTACATTATGTCATCAGAGATTCGGTCAACAAATACGGCAATTATAGATAACGTTATTTTTTATGCTTTTGATGACGTTCGATATTCCTATCCTTTAATCGGCATTGACCGATGATCGACATAACAACTACATCTTGATGTGTAGTGGCTGTGTCTTATGCAACACCATCCTAAGATCGGTGATCGCTACAGTAAAAATGTCATGATATTTCATACGCTGTATTATCCCAAACGATCCGATTGGGACATACAGTACCTCGAAGGAGTTCTTTCATTGAGCATGCCGTTGGGATTTAAAGTGGTGTACTCTTATTTTTTAGTGTAATGTCCGGATGTTCGTATTGTCGGTGTAAATGGCGATAGACCGTACGGAAACGGTCGTTATTATTTTTGTATTATATTGTATCCACTGCGCTGCTGTAGCCCATGGGTTAGTTCTTCTATGCATAATATTGTTTCTGTAAACTAGTACGTAGCGTGTGCATCGTTTGTGCTGTGCTTCGGGTCAGTGCTTTTTTTTTTTTTTAAATTCATTTTTATGTTTTTTTTTTCCACGGACCATGTTTTTTATCTGATTTAGAAACCAGTTTTTGCTCGTGACGGTTGCACGCCACAGCTCTAGAGAAATTACTTATTCCGTCCGGTCTCTAGTCGCCCTCTACTTGTGCTGCCTCCCGCGCATCCTTATGTCGTTACCAGTTCCCGGATCGCTCTGGGTCGTTATTTTGTGTTGGGCATTAAAACGGCTCGTGATAAGCGAAACGATGAATATGCATTCCGCATATTTGTGCAAGGAATTTCGGAGAGAAGTCTCGACTTAGAACACACTTTAATAATCTACATTTTTACCCGGTCAAATCATTCAACCTTGTTGACTTTTAAAACGGAACCGAGTAACCTTATTGTCATTTAACTTAAATAATATTAAATGTAAAAGACGTCGTCATGTACTCGAATTAGTTTATTTCGAGGTTGATCACAAAGCAGTTCCACGAAAAGACTTGTTTTAAAAACATAATTTTATCATTTCGAATAAAGAGTAACTTTCAAAAAGTCAATTTATTCATGTTATTTATTTAGTATTGTTGTTTTTGTACAAAACGACCGGCAAATTTTCTT